CTTTCTTTCTTTCTTTCTTTCTTTCTTTCTTTCTTTCTTTCTTTCTTTCTTTCTTTCTTTCTTTCTTTCTCTTTCTCTCTTCCCTTCCTTCTTTCCTTCCTTCCTTCCTTCCTTAATCTCTCTCTTTCTCTCCTTCACTCTTTCCTTTCTTTTTCTTCTTTCTCTTTCTTACTTTTCCTTTCTCTCTTTCTTCCTTTCCTTCTTTTCCTTCCTTTCTTTTTTCTTCCTTTCCTTTTTTCTCTCACCTTCTTTCCTTCCTTTTTTTCTCTCCTTTGCTCTTTTGTTTTTTCTTTTTTCTTTCTTTCTCTTTCTCTTCCTTCTTTTTCTTCCTTCCTTTCTTTTTCTTCCTTCCTTTTTTCTCTTTCTCTTTTCTTTCTTTTTCCTTTCTTCTTTTGTCTTTCTCTTTCACTTTCTTTCTCTTTTTTTTGTAACCATTTTTTTAAAATTTTATTTTTCTCATTAGTTACATTTTTGTTAATTCTGTATCCCAGCTGTATCCCTCATTCCCTCCCCAATCCCACCCTTTCTCCCTCATCTCCTCCCTGCCCCTTTCCAAGTCCACTGATAGGGGAGGACCTCCTCCCCTTTCATATGACTCCGTTTTGTCAGGTATTTTCAGGACTGGCTGCAAAGTCCTCCTCTGTGGCCTAACAGTACTGCTCCTCCCTTGGGAGGTGGGGAGGTCAAAGAGCCAGTCATTGAGTTCCTGTTAGAAATAGTCCTTGTTCCCCTTACTATGGGAAACCAATTGATTACTGAGCTATCACAGGTCACATCTGAGCAGAGGTTCTAGGTTTTATCCACTCATGGTCTGGTTGAGTGTCCATCTCAGAAAAGACCCTGTGCCCAGATATGTTTGGTCCTTGTGGAGCTCCTATCCTTTCCACATCAAACTCCCCTTCTTTCATATGATTCCCTGCACTCTGCCGAAGGTTTGGTTATGAGTCTTAGTATCTACTTTGGAACACTGCTAGGTAGAGTCTTTCAGATCACTTTCTTTCTCTTTCTTGCTCTTTTTTCTTTCGTTCTTTTCTTTCTTTTCTTTTTCTTTCTCTTTTTCTTTCACTTTCTCTCTCTCTCTCTCTCTCTCTCTCTTTGGTTTTTGAAGACAGGGTATTTCTGTGTAGCTCTGGCTATCCTGGAACTCACTCTGGAGACCAGGCTGACCTCCAACTCATAGATCTGCCTGTTTCTTCTTCTCACATGCTGGGATTAAAGGCGTGTACCACCTCTAAATCAATTGTTCCTATTGTGGAAACGGTTGAGTCTCTTGATAGACATAAAAGGGCCATTTTTACTTCCTTATCTGGAAATTACCTATACCCTTTATTTTCTCTTCTGCCTTAGTTACTTTTTTATTGCTGTGATGATACCATGACCAAGGCAGCATATAAAAGGGAGCATTTAATGGAGGCTTGCTTAAAGTTTCAGGGCGTTGGTCCATTATCGCCATCGTAGGGGAGCATGGTGGTGGGCAGGCACGGTCGGTGCTGAAGGAGTAGGTGAGAGCTCACATTTAATCTGAAAGATGCAGACAAAGAGAAGCACTTGTCTGGGTGTGGGTTTTTGAAACATCAAAGCCCACCCAGTAACACACCTTCAACAAGGCCACACCTCCTATCATAGTTCTTCCCAGAGCGGCTGTGCTAGCTAGGGATCAAATATTCCTGAATATGAAGTTATGGGAGCCATTTTCATTCACCCCCCATCTCTTTATTCTCCTTGTATTGAAAGGCTGAGACTTTGCACTGATTGACAGATATTATAGGAGATGCACGTGTGCGCTCCGTAGTTTGTATTTGAGCTCTCTCTACTATATTATCTTATTTTATTCCTTTTTTTCTTGTTTTTTCAAGACAGAGTTTCTCTGTGTAGCCCTGGCTATCCTGGACTCACCTTTTAGACCAAGCTGTCTTCGAACTCACAGAGATCCATGTGCCTCTGCCTCCCTGAGTGCTGGGCTTACAGGCGTGCATCACTGTGCCTGGCTTTTAGTCTTCATTATGTGTGTATGGGTATGTCCCGCTGCCACAGAGGTCAAAAGAAGGCATCAGATCCTCTGACGCTGGAGTCATGGGCAGTTGTGAGGTGCCCAGTGTGGTGAAATAGTCTCCCTCTGTAGCTCTGGCTGTCATAGAACTTACTGTGTAGACCAGGCTGGCCTCAAACTTTCAGAGTTTCACCTGTCTCAGCCTCCTGAGTGCTGGGGTTGAAGGTGGGGTCAGCACAGTCAGTTTAAATTCTTTATAGTTTACATTTTCTGTTTATTGGTGTTTTGCTTGTGTCTGCGCGCACACACATGAAGGTTCCCATGACATTCTGGTGGAATTAGAGGACAACCTGAGAGTCAGTTCTCTCTCTACTCTGGGTCCTGGGGATTAAGCTTGAGGTCAAGCCCATGTCTGCCTTTATCCTGGGCTGTACTCTGCTGCCCTCCCTGTGCCAACTCCTTGTATATAACTGAACTGTGTCTGATCTTCCTAGCTAGACATATGTGCCAGTTCTGGCAGATTACCCACTAAGCCAGCTGTCCTCAGAACCCCTTTTCCTCATCTGTTTACATACAATTTGAGTATGTTAGGGTTCTCTTATGCAGAGTTTCTCTTTTTAAAGGTATTTTACTTTATCTTGTGTGCATGAGTATAAGCGCTTGCGTTCTGTCACACATGTGGAGGTCAGAGGACAACCACATGTTTTGGGAATTGGTTCTTGCTTTCTACTTTGCTGAGGCCTGGCCTTTCATTTCTGCCACGGAGCTACACACACTAGAGGATGGCTGGCCTCAGAGCCCACACAGATTGTCCTGGCTCTTCCTCATATCTCACTGGAGGGTACTGGGATCACAGATGCATAACAGCACACGTAACTACTCTACCACTGAGCTATCTCTTTGTCTCCCTTGAGGAGTTTGTTAAGCTCAGGGTCCTTGGGTGTTGGGTTTTTGGGGAGGAGGGTTAGCTGTTAGATAATTCTGTGTGTGTGTGTGTGTGTGTGTGTGTGTGTGTGTGTGTGTGTGTATTCTTTTCTTGGAAGAAATCCATTAGATTTCCTTAGACTGTCTGTCAAGAGGATATATGATTCAAAAACAGAAGCACAGATCTGGAGGAACATTTGTTAAATCCTTAGGTAGTCATTTATGAATGTTACCACTTATAATCAGATTTGCTTAAAAATAAACACTCTGGGGGAGCAGCCTTGCCAGGCCACAGAGGACGACAATGCAGCCAGTCCTGATGAGACCTGATAAGCTAGGCTCAGAGGGAAGGGAAAGAGGAACTCCCCTATCAGTGGACTTGGAGAGGGGCCTGGGAAGAGAAGAGGGAGGGAGGGTGGGATTGGGAGGGGACGAGGGAGGGGGCTACAACTGGGATACAAAGTGAATAAATTGTAATTAATAATAATAAAAAAAAAAAAACAAATACTCTATTGCCAGTAATCCCAGCACGGAGGAGGAACAGGCAGTCGGACCTCTGAGTTTCAGGCCAGCCAGAACTACTGATTGAGATCCTGTGTAAAAAAAAAAAAAAAATCCCCCAAACAAATGAAAACAAAAATCTTGTTTTTATTGAGCCTTTAAAAAAAATAGATATATCCAAGAATTTTTTTTTTTGAGACAGGACCTTACTATGTAGATACCAAAAATTGTCCTAAAACTAAATTTCATAGTAATATTTTTTACCCAGTTTCTCATTGTATTACGGAAAGCAAACACTCATGGTTCCTTCAGTGTTTTCACTGATAGAACTCCATACTTGATTGGTTTTCAAGATGTAGACCCAAACTGTAGTTCCCTGCGGTGTCTTACTTGGATGTAGATGGCATAATTTCTCTTTTATGTGTCACTGAATCTAATTATTAATGTTTTGCTGAAGATTTTTGTGTCCCAATTTGTGAAGGATATTCATTTTTCTATTGTCTTTTATTTTTTTGTTATCTTTTGGTTAAAGAGTGATTTCCAGAATAAACTGGTAATTCAACTTCTTATGTTTTCTGGGTTAATCTGAACTGATTTTTTTCTTATTGTCTTTAAATAGTTATTTATCTATTTATTTATTTAATTGAGACAGGGTTTCTCTGTGTAGCCCTGGCTGGCTTCGAACTCATAGAATGCTGGGATTAAAGGCATGTGCCACCACTACGCTACTAGGTTTATTTATTTTAAGTGTATGGGTGTTCTGCCTGCTCATTTGTCTGTGCACTGTGCCATACAGTGTGCCCATGGAGACCAGAAGGAAGCATTGTGTCCTCTAGAGCTTGAGTGATAGGTGTTCTTAGCTTTCATGCGGGTGCTGGTCCTCTGCAAGAGCAGCAAGTGCTCTCAGCTCAGCTATCTCTAGCTCATTTCTGTTTGGGATTTTCCATGAAGATGGGACTGGATTTTTTTCTGGAAAGATCTTAGCTACAAATACAATTTCTAAAGTAGACACAGATATTTAACAGATAATCACTAAGATTATCCCTTCTGAACTGAGTTTAATAGTTTGGCCCATTTGTAGGCTGTCAATAAAAGAATGGAGCCAGTTTTATTAGCATTCGAGAAGGAAAATAGCAAAGCAGGCTACTCTAGGAGGGTAGCTGACAAGATGTTAGGCTTTCTAAGTTTGAGGCAAGAAAGCTAGCTGAATCATGGTGGTGTATGTTTCTAATTTTAGCACTTGGGTGCCTGGAGCAAAAAGATATCTGCAAGTTCAAAGCCAGCCAGGGTCACATAGCAAAAATACTTTGTCAAAAACTGGGAAGATTCTAAAGAGTGCTTCAGCAATGAACATTTGCTACTTGCTGGATGTTTGGGGCAGGTATCAGAGACAATGAGAAATTTATTAGAGTGTCCCAAGTATCAAGACCTAGGGCTGGGGTCCAGGAAAGACAGAATGGAAGGAAATGGACTGGGATTTAGAAAGTAGGCAGGCTTTTTGTTCAAGTTGGGAACTGGTAGTTGAAAAATGGGAAAGTTCTTTTTTTTTTTTTTTTTTTTTTTTTTCCTGTGTGTGTGTATGGGGTTTTTATGTGCCCAGAGGAGGAGGACACTAGTGTCCTGCTCTGTCATTCTTTGTTGCTTTGAGATGGAATCTCTCAATGCATTTGGAACTAGGCTAGTGGCCAAAAAGTCCTAGCAAACCTCCTGCCTCAGACCCTCACTGTGCTGGGGTTATAAGCGACCAGACTATGTAAGTACTGAGTTTCTTTTCTTTTTCTTTCTTTTTAAAAATTTACTTCTTTATTTTTATGAGTGTTCTATAAGATACCTGCATGCCAGAAAGAGAAGATTGAATTCCATTGTAGGTGGTTTGAGACACCATATGGGTGCTGGGAATTGAACTCAGGACCTGGAAAAGCAGCCCGTGCTCTTAACTATTGAGCCATTTCTCCAGTCCTGAGTGTTGGGTTTCAAACTCAGATTCCCATTCTTGCCCAGCCAGCTGTATAGCCACTGAGCCATATCTCTAACCCTACTTAATAGATTTAGAATTCTGGGTCAGACAATTTTATTGCTTTTTCCAAAAAGCAAACAAAAGTTTGAAAATGAAGGTGAGCCAGATGTGGTAGTGCTCACCTCTAATCCCAGCACTCAGGAAGGCAGAAGTAGGTGGATCTCTGTGAGTTCGAGGCCAGCCTGATCTACAAAACAAGTCCAGGACAGATGAGGCTGCACAGAGAAACCCTCTCAAAAAAAAAAACCCCAAATAGATAAACAAAGAATAAAAAAAATTAAAAACAAAGGTGATCAACTAGATAGCTCCCCACTTTTTTCAGGAATACCTTCAATGGAGTTGGGCATGGTGGTTTATGCTTGTAATTCTGACAGTCAAGAGGCAGAGGTAGGAAGGTTTCTGTGATTCAAAACTACCTTAGCTGTAGAGTAAGTTCCAGGGATAGCAGTGGCTGGAGTGAGACCATGCCTCAGGCAAGCACGGATCTGTGAACTCTCTTGATCATTTACTGCCTTTATGAGGGAAGGTGCCAGGACCCTTACCTCTTCCTGTTTCCAGACAAATGCTTTGCCACATCACCTTGCAAACTAATGGCTAACAGTGTGCCTCTAAGGTGCATCTTTTTGCCATAGTTAAAATGAGTCAATCAAGCCAGCCAAGCAGGGTGTTTGTATAGATAAATGAAAAGCACATGGCACCAGACTGTTCCTTCTTTTCTCACTGTAAGTTTTTCTCTACACAGGGAATCTGAAGATACAGTATTGCTAGTTCTCAAAGAGATCTACCAAACCCAGGGCGTCTTCCTTGATCAGCCTTTACAGTAAAAATGACCCATCTGTGGCTGCTTAATGTAAGTTTTTAATGCAGTAAAGTGTTTAAATGTTCACATGTTATAAGGAACATTGGAGCTGTAAGCTCCTTATACAAATTTGTATACATCCCCATGATTTAGGTAATGCTCAACTAGAGGGCACTGATTACAGTTCATAGGAAGGGTCCAGTAGCCCACTTAGAAAGGGATTGGTGCATATCTTTATCTTGGGCTTGGGATCTTGGGGGCTAGGCCCCCAGATGGGGACTTGGAGAGTCTGTATTAGACCGCCGGATTCTTTGTGGTGGCTGGTTATCCTGATTGAGCTGCTGTGACCTCTTTCCTACTCTCTCCTATAGATGGACATTGAAAATCCACATGCTTGTTGCTGCAGCTTTCCTCTCAGCTACATCACATCCTGCATGTTGCCTGCCTTACTCCACAGGGGCTTAGAAGATAATCCTTCTTGGAGATTAGTGGAAAGCAGACAGAAGACTCATGGCTTTGCCTAAACACTCGCCAGGTTCTGTAGCTCGGGAGTTAACATCTTTTAATGCTTTAACGGCAGCACTTTGTTTATGACATGGAAAGGAATACAGGCTGTTTGGGGGCTTAGAAAAAAATTTTAGAGAGGTTTACTCCTTACTCCTTGGACCAGTATATTCTTAAGATTTAGAGGTAGTTTGAGGTCCAGTCATTTTTGTTCTCTGCACTGGAAGGCTAAACATAAATGGATATGGAAATGGCTGCTCTTTCTTTGAGCCCCCATTTCTCTCCTGTGTGTAGTCTATAGGAACAGACTGGAGCTGACTAACAGTAGAGCTTGCTTGGAACATTGTCAGGTAGGCATACTGTAGGAACCACTGCTGGTGCTTGTTCTTCTTAGAGCTGCTTCAGCTCCTACAAACCTGAGGACTGTAGGAGTTGTTGCCTGCCTTTCTATACCATATTCCAAACTGGGCATGAGGTTAAGGAAATGACTTGGGAACACTTATTTTGAAGTGAAGTTGTAAAAGTTGGACAACTTGAATTTCTGAGGCCTTTCCTGACTGTTCATGTTGTAGATGAGATCTTTTAGTCACACCTCTTAAGTTACCTGCCACTTCTGCTTGAGTAAAGGAAGTATTGTGACATAAACACCATTGCTTCCTAAGGAATCATCAGTGTTTACTTGCAGTTGACAGTCAGTGTTGGTTGAGCATGCCAATGTGGGGAAAGACCACATTCTGAAAGGAAACCCTATCTATGGGCTCTGAGGAGCAGCTGTGTGCACTGGTAGCTGAGTCTGGACAGTTCAAGGCTTCTGCTTCCCACTCTGCTTTAGGCTTTCTTTCCCCTTCCTCAGCATGTGCTGTCATCTTCATTCTGTTCATGGTGGTCCTCTATGCTCCTCAAACCAACTCCTCAGATTTTTTTTTTTTTTGTAAACCTATCATGATATCCAGAAGCACAGCATTTAATACTCAGATGGCAGTGCTCTTCCCGCTTTTTGGTACAGAAAAGAAAGGGAGGTTAGTCATGGTACCCTGGAGGATAGAGAGGCAAGCAGAGGATACAGTGAAAGCTGGCCTGCCTTTCTGCTTATGGGTAATGGTGGAGAGGCAAGCTACTGAGAAGTTCCAGGTGTATGGAGTACTTTATTTTTCTATAGTATCCCTCGAGTAAGAATTACTGGGAATTAAACAGCACTCATTAAATACTAATGGTAAGTTTCTGTGAAGTTGCTGTCTTCAAATTTGTTTACTCTTGTTAGCAGAATTGTAACTGCTAAGAGTAAACCAAAGTACAACCAAGACTGAGTCTTGTAACCAAAGACGGGCAGTTTGGCCCTGCAAAGCTAGATAAACCACTGCACTAAGAAAGGCTTCTTCCTGGAAACCCGGCATCTACTAACTCAGAGCTTGTACCTCACCATCCACTTACGGTGTTATCATGCTGTGTATTACACAGGCGAGCAAGGTGGCTAGGGACCTGTGTTTACAGATTTGCACTGCATCATTTGTATCATGTACAATCTCTTGACCAAGGCTGTTTTTAAACTTTAGTGTAACAGCATTTTGTACATATTCCTGGCTGCACAATAGTGAGAGATGTGTGCAAGGAGAGATGAATAGTACTGACTACCTTTCCGATATTTGCACTTTTGAAATGTTTGTTTTCTATGTGATTATATTTAAAACTGTAGCAAATGCTGAAATAAACTATTGACCAGTTACCTACATTCGTGTAGCCTTATCTATCGTGAAGAAAAATCAATGTAGTAGGCATTTTTTTTCTTATGTTCAAAACATAAGTTCAAAACAAAGTTTTAGGCAAATAACTAATATATGCTATTTTCCCTTAGCTAATGTTTTCATTGTCATGGACAGGTGTAGCTCAGAATTTAAAGTGTGGCAATTGTAAGTGTCTGTAGATACAGGAAACACAGAGCATTCCTGTAATATCTATAAGTATTAGCTGATAACAGATAGCAGCAGTTAGTTATGTATGTCAGATTAGAACCCAGCGCTGATCTCCTAGACCCTGAATGGTTCTCAAAGTACCAGGTTCTTAAAGTGGCAGGTGTTCTGAGGGGAAAAAAATGCATTGAAAATATGTTTAAGAGTATGTTACAGCTGGGCAGTTGTGCATGCCGTTAGTCCCAGCACTCAGGAGGCAGAGGCAGGCAAATCTCTTTTGAGTTCAAGACCATCCTGATCTACATAGTGAGTTCCTGGACAGCCAGGACTGTCTCTTTGTGAACAAAAGGCAGAAAAAGATACATTTATCTTCTAGATAATCCATATAATTTTTTTCTTTCCTGATGTAGTAAAAAAGTAAAAAATTGGCCAAAATTGGACATTTTATTATTTAAGGCGTAATGGAATGTTACCACAGAAAGTAAACAGAATCAAAGCTTGACTGGCACTGCCCTTATTCATAAGGGACAAAGATTACATTTGGTCATTAAGCCTTCCAGGATAAAGGAGGGTCATGAAAAGCCTCCTTTGTGAGCAGGTCTCTTTAGGAGTGACATTTACATTAACGTAAAAATGCTAGATCTTGGGAAACCAATCCAGTGGACCAGATTCACTAACCTGGTGAGAGAGATTCCCTTGCCAGATCAGGCCAGGCCAGGGATTTCCTCAGGATCTAGCCTTGGGAGTGGGGGAAGGTACAGTCCTGTGGCAGCAGACTCGTGTGGCTTTTACCCTGGAAGAGGTAAAAGCCAGAAATCCTTGGCTTGAGTATGGCATCCAGTTTGGAGGTTTTTCATTGAGGTAGATTCAGCTAGATATCCAAGTGTTGAGGCTCACTGGGCTTCTTCTGTGAAGAGGGAAGTCTGTGCTTGTCCTGAAATGGCCTATGGCATTCTCTATCAGTCAGAGGGGGATAGTACTGCCTGTAGCAGATGTAGGCGAATGCCGTTCCAATCATGGATCCAACCAGCACATCTGCAGAGAGAAAGTAACCCCCCTTTAACCTACAGGGGACTTGGCCTTCCAGGTTATGCTGCGTGTGGGGCCAAAAAAAAAAAAAAAAAAAAAAAAATCCCTTACCATGTCTGTAGTTTCTTTATAGAGTGTCTTAATTTTATCATAGTTACAAGATTATTGGTCAATTTGTTCTCTAAACACTGAATCAAAACACACTCTTACTTAAGTCAGCATGGGCTGACTTAGAATTTTTTTTTTTTTAACATAGAAGAGTAACGTGTGTTCTTATGTTTTTAGTCACTGACTTGTTTTCACTAATGTTCATTCACTGTGAGACTTGGGCTAGAGGGGGAGACCCCGTCCTTAAAAATACAGGGAGCTGGTGTATGGTGATACACACCTTTTAACCCAGCACCTGGCAGACAAGGGGCTGTATTTCTGGGAGGTCAAGGCCAGTCTGGTCTACATAGCAAGTTCCAAGGCTACCTAGTGAAACCCTGTCTCATAGGGCGGGGCTCAGGGTGAGGGTGGGTTAACAGTTGGGAGCTGGGGAGCTGGCTCAGCAGGAAAGAATCCTTACTTGCATGAACAAGAGGAACTGAGTTCAAACCCCTAATACCCACGTAAAAAGTGAGCGTGGCCATATATGCATGTGTAACCCATGTGTTGTGGAGGGCAGGATGGATGACTGGCGATTCTGGCCATCAGCCCAGCTGCCCTGTGACTGGGTCATGTTCCCCTGCACACACGCATGCACATTTAGAGCATACACAAGTTAAAGTTTGTGTGTGGGTGTGTGCTTGCCTATGTGCATGCGGGAGACACGTGTGGAGGTGAGAGGGTAACTCTGCAGTCCAGTTTTTCCTGCAGCCTTTATGTGTGTCCCAGAGATCAAACATAGGTTGACAGGCTTGTGCAAAAAGTGCCTTTAATGCCAAGCTGTCTCGCTCACCCAGAAGTTACCTTCTGTCCTCCGGCTATAAACACACATGCTCAATACAGAGCATGGGCTGTCCACACTTCCTCATCTGCTCATTCATTCAGCAGATGAGACCCAGTAAGCCACTCGTCTGGGCCAGGTTCGAGAGTTAAAGCAGGTGAGGCAGAAACTTTGGCATAAATAACTGCTCACCTTGCCAGTGGTGCCTGTAGTCACACGTGCGAGAGAGTGCAATCACAGCTGCAAGGAGGAGAGGCGACAGAAAGGCACAAAGCCTCCAGGAGTTCCCTCTGCCCTGTGGTGTGAAGCAGTGTAACTTTCCCGCCAGGTAGAAGGAAGCAAAGGCTAGACCAGCAAACGCAACTAGAACAGGGAAGGTCGACCCATGAGTCCTGTTGTCTTTGAGTGGGAGCCCTGTCACCCGTGTCCATCGGGGGCAGGGAGCAAGAGCAGGCTGTATCCCTCAGTTACAGGGAAATGAAGGACTTTGTTTTCTGTCCTAGAGTTAGTATTTTAAGTAAGAACAGATTCTGGAATAAAAGTTGTTACTGTGGACTGTGCTGTAGAATCGTGGTCTCTGAGTGGGGATTACAAAAGTAACAGGATATACCTTAGTGGGTTCTTGGGAGCTACAAAGGTAAGACTCTAAAATGCTCAGCAGCCGAAGTGTAGCTTGAATAAATATTTTTTCTTTGTGACCAGTAAGAGGTGGTTCATTCCTGTTAAATGTAATCATTTTTAAAAGTACGTATTGGAGGGGCTGGAATTGGCTCAGAGGTTAGAGCATGGGCTGCTCTTCCAGAGGTCCTGAGTTAATTCCCAGCAACCAAGTGGTGCCTCCCAACCATCTATGAGACCTGGGGCCCTCTTCTGGCGTGCAGGCCTACTGGCGCTGGGGAGCTGACTCAGCAGCAGTGAAGAGCTTTTGAGAGGACCTAGGTTCAGTTCCCAGCACACATACTCAAGTGTGGCAACTCACAGCACTGACTCCAGCTCCAGGGGCTCTAGTGCCACCTTGTGGACTCTACAGCATGCACACACATATTTAAACAAAACACAAGTGGGTCACGTGAAGTTCATACAGGAAGAATGTCCACTGGGGAAGCTTTTACGGCCCTCATTCACCACATCCTTGTCGCCCGTGCAAGTCAAATCCGAGTGGGCCAGGCCGTCAGGAAAGCATCGGTAGAAGAAATCTGGGCGTGGCCTGGAAGAATAAGCACATACAGTTCACTCCTCCAGGAAGGACTGCTGAGTTGTGGTAGATGTCAGTAATTGTTAACTTCTGGTCTGGCAGTATCCTCGGCAAACCAATGTAATGTGATTCCGATGGTCATTGTGCTCAGAAAAAAGCTTTAGTCGCGTGGCCGGTGCGAGCGGCTCGATGATCTTAGCACTAAGCACACTGTAGGAATGCTAGAGGCCGCGGCTGTGGGCAGGCAAGACAGGACACAGCAGGTGGCACAGTTAGGACAGGCGGAGGGCAGGGGGGGAGAGAGAGTTCAGGGTGCGGAAAGAAAGCTCAGTCTGCTTGAGGACAGGATGGGGCCCGAGGGAGGGCTGAGTGTTCTCACTTACCTCCCCACTATGAGTTTTATTACGTTGGTAAAGACACCATTCAGAGCCAGGGCAAGGCTGGCAGCTGGAAAGCAAAGCAACTGTTAGGACTGCCTGCTTGGGGTGGAGTGTCACCATCTCCACCGCTCTGAGCTGGAACCCAACCCGAACCGAACACAAAAGCGACTGTGCCTCCTGTCCCGAAGAAACTGGCCCAGGGGCACGGCAGCCGGAGGACTGGGGCGCAGCCGCTCGGTGCCCGCGTGAACCGCTCTCACGGCTCTAGTGTTGTTCTGCCCCGTGGGGTAACAGCGGGAAAGGGCAAACTTTAGGGTACAGTTCCCTACAGCCCCCAGGACCGGACGAAGGCGGGGTTGAGCCGAGCCCCCCAGGTCCTCGGCGGCGCCGAGCGCAGCACGCCGAGGGGGCGGGCTCACCGAGGCAGGCCTGCTTGCTGTCAGCGGCGTCCGCTTTCCTCAGACACTTGGCCAGGAAGATGAGGGACAGCGGCGTGAGGAACGCGATCACCTGGGCGAGAACACACGGCAGGTAAACCGCGCCCTCTCGCCCACGGGCGAGTCACCTCCTGGCCGGCCCGCGCGGGGCAGGGGCGTCCCCGCCGGGGGGGAGGGGGAGGGCGGGGGCAGCTCACGCACAAACATGGGCCCGGCGGGCAAGTACTCCGCCTCCACGTACGGGTTCCGGTAGAGCCACAGCTCCTCGGGCTGGATCCGCCGCTGGAACGGGGGGAGCAGCTCGGTCAGCCTGGCGGGAAGGGGCGAGGACTGACGGGCGGCCGCGGCGGAGGGGCCCGCCGCCCCGCAGCTCCCCGAGCGCTGCGCCCGGGACGCCGGCCGTGTCGGGACGGGCGCTTACAGGAAGGCCGCGAAGAGCAGGGCCCGCACGCCCAGCTCGGCTCCCAGGGCCGCCGTCCCCATGCCGCCACCGAGGCGAGGCGAGGCGAGGCGAGGCGAGGCGCGGGCCGGACGCTGACGTGGCTCCGCCGGCGCAGCGGGGCCGCCCGGGCCCAGCGCCCCCTGGCGAGCTCCGAGGGGGCCGCACGGCGGGGCCTCGCGGGGCAGGACTTTGAGAGGCCTCGGCTCTGTTCCGGGTACCGCCCCGCGGAGGCAACGAGGGCGCCGTGCCTGGGTGGCCCGCACTAACTCACTACCCAGCAGGTCACCTTTGGGTCTCAAAGCAAGGATGAGTGTCCTTCACCAACCACGCGGTGCCCTATCGGCTTAGAGGACACGGAAAGGAAGGCCATTCTCCGAGACCCTCCACAACAGCAGACCAGGAAGCTCACTTTAAAGAAACCGTTTCTTAGCAGCACTTGAAGGGGAAAAACTGGGCTGAGAGTGGGTGGGTGGGTGTATTTTTGTGTCTCATTTCCCAGTAAACTATACCATGAAATTACAGGCAAAGAACAAGCCCATATAGTTAAGTGGAACATACAGGACAATTTATTAAAGTCAACCTCAAGCAAGACCTGAAATCAATGAAATGCCATTAAAAACCTTTCCACATTCTTTCTTACAGAAGCAGAAAACACATTTGAATTCTAAAGTATCTGTAAAATTAAAAAGGCAAAATTTCAGTAAATACAATGTACAAAAACTGTCCCATCAGTATGCATCAGTTAGAAGCTTGACTGTTACAGGCAATCTTACATACACTACAACTAGTTAACAGTGAGCCCTCTATGTACAGGTTAACCAAGACTGGTAGGCTCATACTTTGCAATAAGACATTGGTCAATAAACAAAATCCTTAAAATATGTCTCGAAGGAATGCTCTAGTAGAATCTCCCCAGAAGATGAACACTAATCCCTTAGTGTCAGGAGCTCCAGGTAACAGCAACTAGAGACTGGTGAATGCTGACACTTTTATAGTAAGGACTCAAGTGGTTTAGGCAAAATAACATCTCACAGGCTCTACAGAGTTTCTTACAGGTAAATACAGATGTGAACAATCTGTCAAGAACATTATTCAAAGAACACAAAAAATGAAGATGGGAATCTGCAGATACTTGTTTATTGTATAACATTCAAATGGATACAACTGAATTTGCCATATCAATTCAAAATATACACAAATATTTGTATATAAAAAGACCATCTTAGCCAGCTGTAATCAGTTACGTTATTAGTGGCAAGACAGTTACCAAACAATACATAACAAAAAAATAAGATGTTAATTGGCAACAAAGTAAGTGTAAATTTTCCTTATTCCTTTTGACTGACAATACCGTATCTAGGCAAACTGAAGAGACTTGAAAGCCATTTGCACACAGCAAGGGTCAGCCAGCAGGGAAGGGGACAGTGGAAGCTGGGGCGCTTCTCATCCATTAGCAGTCGTGGTGACGTCACAAGAAAAATCAAGGACCGAATACTGACTTTGGCAACTTCTATTTTCCCCTTTAACTTACAGGCAAATGACTTTCAGAGCCTACTGAAGGACAAACAATACTTTTACTCCCCTCCCCCACAGGTATAATAAGTGCTCACATCAGCCACTTTTGCAATGGATTGACAAAACTCAAACAACAGAATTTCTTCCTTTTCTCCCCTTTTGAGACAGGGTATGTCTACATAGCCCTGACTGTCCTGGAGCTCAGCATGTAGGCTTTGAACTCACAGGCGTATGCTGGGATTAAAGGTGTGTGCAACCATGCATGGTGGAAATGGTTTTTTGAAACGGGTTATGGATAGCATTTTAGAAGTATAACATGAATGCACCCCCCCCCACACACACATACACAAGCATATATTAAAAGGAAGAGGTACTTTGGGATGAGGCAAACAAGGAGAAAAAAAAAAATAAGAACATAGGAAATAATTTCTAAAACTGCTGATACCCCATGCAGGACATCAGCCTCTTCCTTAAAGGCGCTGCCACACCTAAGCGTCTGCGCGCCCCCTGGAAGAACTTTATTTTTGACAGTATAGAAAGTGCTGCTTCTCCTGTCATAATTTTAAAAGGGAACTGTGAAATGAGCAGCTCAAGAGTCTCAAGTGCTTGAAGAACCTGAATTCAATGAGGCAGAGGTCTCAGTGCTCCAGGGATGGCACTGGACTCGTGATAAACACTCACCATTGCCATCCCTTCCTCCAGAGACCCCCCAGCACCCCACCCAGGGTAAAAACTGGTGATACTTGAGCACGTACAAATGTCTTCCTTCCCTATATCTGCTAATCCATTGCAAAGCTGCCTACAAGTTACTCCTTTAATCCACCTGAAAATGGACCAAGGTCTACTTTTTTGTTACAAATAAGCAGAGACCATGTGTGGTCAGATGCAATAGCCATGTGAAAAATAATTCAAGTCCAGAAATAAAGCCATGCCATTGTAATCTCCTGAGAAATACAACTACAAGCCGTCCAGCTGGGAGACACACAGGCAATGCTTTCCCATTAGCACACGGCACGTGGCTGGCAGTGCCCCAGCTTTGTGGCAGCTGAGCGCAGTCAGAGGAGTGCTGTGTTTAAAATAAAAGGGCAGGCTAAGCAGCAGGTCCGGGACAGCCAGCACCCACATTCAGGTAGGTGACACGATTTCACACTGTCGTCTGGCTTTGACCCTAAGAGAACACAGTGTGTAAGGAAGAACTCAAAAAAGAAACTGCTTCATGAAAGCTGCCCACCAGCCCAGCGAGTGCTTCCCCTCGGCAGACAGACACTCCGGTCTCGGAGCCACGCCGTTTACGCGCTTCTGCAAACACCTCGGCAGGACACACTGACAGAAAGCAGCGGGCGGCAGCGCCGCTTCCACGACTATCTTTTTATTTCAAATACATTCCTAACTCATTTTTACATATAATATATATGTTATATATATATATATATATATATTATGTTATTTATGTAACACACAGAAAACAGTCTATTCTACAGCTTAGGAAAGCTAGTTTTTGAGAATGAAGATAAAACCCGCTCCACTCTGAACTCCAACACTGACTAGCGATTGAAGAAGTGAATGGCGGCCACAGCACAGGGCGGTAAAGAGCGTTTGCCCCTTCCTGCTCAGCCGGGCACAGGCAGCTACTGTGGAAGCCCAGTGCGGCCTCCAAGGTGCCAGGCCTGTGCCAGGCCATGCTCTCACCTCTAGCTCTTTCCACTCAGACTTCAAAAGCTTTACACTGATCATCAGGAACCTCGTCTTCCTCCTGAGGTTAACAATCCCACCATTGGCCTGCGCTGCTTTTAGTCCTTTCCCTTCTGGGCTGAACCAAACCAGCCACAAATGCTGTATACCGAATGCATATTTAAAAGCTAACAACTGTCGGCCCCAGGCTGTGCGCCAGGAGGGCATGTGTGTGCGCCCACACTGCCCAGGAGCTTTCTGCTTTCTTAACCCTCAACTCCACGACAGCGGCCACCGAGGCAGGAAGAGGCCCTTTGCACGGGCACAGCAGAGGCAGGCGTGGAGCACAGAAAGCTTGTGGGCTGTGCTCAACTACTTTTTTTCATACTTGGCTTCTGAAATGGTAGAACAAGCCTATTAGTCATCAAAAAAGAAAAGATCTGAAAAGTGCAAAGTTCTTTTACAGATATAAAAACAAATACGCCACACCAGAGAAGCAAAATAGAGATAGTTCAGCCTAAGGTATTCAGTAAACACATGATGCACCCTCGGGCTTACTATATAAAAGTTATCAGATACTAAAAAGCATGAGGTCAGAAAGGAAACAAGATACAATTTCATACTGGACATTATTCTCACAAGAGTTACATTTGCACTTATCAATGACTTAAAAATTGTTTAACATGTCTGTATAAAATAAAATTTTAGTATGCTAAAACCCAGATAGTCTTACATTATTTTTTAAAGGACATCAAACTTCCTAATTGCTCAAGAGCAAAGGTTAGTGTTTGCGTGTGCTGTGCTTCACAGTGACTGCCCTGGGTGCCATGGGACATCCTGTCTTCCTCCGCCCGTGGGCTTGCTAACCAGCAGGACTACAATTGCTACAACCAGGTAAACGGCAGTTTAGGAGCTTAGAGAGAGGACCTGTAGTGTCTGTTGTTTATAAATTGCACAATTACATATAAAAAAGAGGCACAAAATTCCTCTTTCTTTTGTCCAGAGAAGAGGTCTGAACTGATCTGTAAAAAATTAAAAAAGGAACAAACACACCTAACACAACCACAGGGTGCCACAGAGTGTCTTCCACCCGTGTTAGTGAAGTACGAGGTTCTTGAGGAGAGTAAGTCCTACTGGGCACCGCCAGCAAGTAGTTAAAACTCACTGAGTAAGTTCACGTTTCTTGGTGACACCAGACTTGTATTTAGTGCAGTGTTATACTGTCTGACATGATTCCATACAAGTAATACTGGAAGAGCTATATTCCTAAGTGCTAGAAGCCAGTGAGCTCTGGGCAGACGCCTTGGTTTGCCTGGGTCTGTGCTGCTCAAAATCGCAGCCGCGCCTGCAACACTGGCTCTCTGGGGAGTGCTCACAGTGCTTTGTAAGACAAGTGCGTCTCCGTGGCTCTACATACCCCTAAAAGAAGAAGCTCTTGCCCTTACTCAGCGGGGACAGGGCTGAGTGCTGCATAATACTAGGTAGAGTTGTGGACATGTAGCTTGGGCATGCCTCTGTCTACTTCTATCACCCCAAGTTAGGGGGAAATCTATTGAAATAGAATTCAGGTTCAATTATAGCCTTACAGGGAACATGACCGAATGATCAGCTGGAAAAGGAAACATGATTGGCAGAGGGAAAGACAGAAAAATAAAATGCCCTTAAATTCTAAGTCAGACTGGAGTCCGCTTTAAGTTGGTCAGAAAATGGTGCATATATGATCTAACTTTTGGTTTGTGCCTTTATCTTTAGCTCCTTGCCAGTGTGTCAGAGTGACAGGAATGAACATTCTCTTAGGCATTCATGTACCATAAAGGCATCAGAAAATCTGTAAATGGATGACATTTCAGAATCAGTGAATGCATTCATTCCGTTTCCCTACAAGACAAACCCACACGTTTCTATAGAGTTACTGCACCAGGAAGCCCGCCTAGGTAAGACCTCAGAGGTAAATGCTGTCAAGGCATTTGTTTCCAAGACGCCAGGCTGAATACTTGCTAAGAGCCTTCTCTGACACTAGAAAAGGCAAGTGAAAAAGGAAAGAGAAGTTAGCCAATTTACGGCTCTGTAAAGAGGTATATAAAGGTAGTCATGCTCGCTCTCTCTCTCTCTCTCACACACACACACACGCGCGCGCACACACACAGAGGTTAGATTGTTTGAACTATTTCTCATAATTCCTAAAAATGAAGATAAATAAAGGAATGGCTAATTTTGCTTAATACAACCAAGGATTACATCTTGGGGTTTACATTGATCTTTTATCTTTCTCTCAGTTCTAGATATGAGGACACCTCTTTTGCTAGTTGCAAAGACACTGAAGCACAATAAAAGGCGAGAAAGGAGCAAGGGGATTTCACTGCCCACAAACTTATCCCCAAAGCAACAAAACAAGATAGAAAACCGTACACCACCAGCTGCTTCAGCCTGCGTGCACTGGCTCCCGTTTTCCCTTTGCGAGGCGGTCTGATGGCAAGAGCACCAGCCCCGCTCGGTTTTCAGTGCGTCATCTATTTTCTTCTTCCACTTAGAGCAGCAGGGAGGAAGTCACCACCATTCACTCCTTGGCTTCTTCCCCACTGTCTTGTGACTCCCATTTACATTTGATCTTGCTCCAGTACTCTGGTGACACGGGGGACGCAGGGTCGTGGTTCGAGCAACAGAGACGACCTTCTAGTGCAGAGGGCAGCAGAGCTCCTTTCTCGTGACCCTTACAGAAGGAGTGTGGGCAGAACTGGCAGAAGGAGACGGCGGCATCGTTGCACTCGTCACACTGATGCCACGGGCACTCCCACTTTCCTAAGGCAGGGGTTGGGGAAGAGGGAGAGCACCTGTTAGCGTAGTTCTTGATAACCCAGGAGAAACCCAGGAGGGACCAGGGCCCTCTCTGGAGACAGGGTCTCCCTGTGGAGCCTTGCTGGCCTGCTACCTGTTTCCCGAGTGTTAGAATTAAGGCTGTGTGTCACCAGCCTTTTGGTTTTGGAAACATGGTCTGCCTAGAGAGTGCAGGCTGGCCTGGACCCACCAGAGGTCCACTGGCTTGTGCCTCCCACGTGCGGGGATTAAAGACGTGCATACTGCACCTGGCTCATACCTGGCCTTCTTGAATTAGAGACTTTAATTACAGACATCGTCCTTGCTGCCGCATGAGGCATATCCAATTTGCATGGAAACAGATTTCTGACCAGAGTGATTGTTCTGTTAAATGTTTCTTATTTCACAGTTCCATTAAAGAGGGCCGAGAGCATCCCAAGTCACACCCCAATGGCAAAAACTGAAGCAGCAAGGGCTTGAAGGTCTCTTACCGTATGGTGGCTGAGTCAGGTTAAGGCATAGGAGGTGGTAAGCTTTGGGACAGTCCTTTTTGTCACACATGACCAACTCTCCACCATCCCCACACTGAAAACAGTAATCTTCATGAATTTGCTTTGGCTCTGTTTTGATTTTCCGTCTTTTCTTTAACTTGGCACTTTTTGTCTTCTCATCAGTTGCTGATGCACAGGCAGACTGGTGAGAAAGAAAGACCACGTTCAACCCACATAATGAAGAAGCTTTGCCCGGAAAGGAGTGCAGAGCACAGGGCCTCATCTGCATCTCTGCACATACCTAAAAATACCAGAAGGGCTTACCCCAGACAATACTTCAGTAAGACAGGCTTGTCCCTGTTCATCTGAGGTTTCGTGTGGCCTCTCTGAAGCACTTTCCTGGGTGCAATGCAGGCGGCAGTGGGCCCGGCAATAACCTCAGCACTCATTTATCATTAAATCATTTATTTTTATGTTATTTTATGTAGTTTGTGCACTCATGTTCTGTCTGCATGTGTATCTGTGTGAGGGTGTCAGAGCCTCTGAAACTGAAGTTATATACAGCTGTGAGCTGCCATGTGAGTGCTGGGAATTGAACCCTGGTCCTGTGGAAGAGTAGCTAGCGCTCCTAAGCACAGCACTGAGGAGCCATTTCTCCAAACCTTTCCTTCTTTTTTTTTTTTTTTTTAAACAAGCTGCTTTAAAGAGAGGTAGAGGGAGGTAGGCCTTCATTCCCACGTTCCTCAAATTAAGATGGCTGAGTTGGTGGGTCTTAGAGGAATTAGTCAAGAAACCAGTCTCTGTATCTTCCTCTGACTCTACAGCCTTGGCTGAGACTGTAGCAGAAGCAGGAGCAGCCAGAAGGCCTTGACATCTTCAGCAAGTGGGAAGGTGTGCTGAGTCCCCACAGACAAAGCCAGGACCCATTTGTACCCACTGAGGATAAAATGTGGCTCCGAGACAACAGGCAGCCAATCTGCAGACAAATCACTCAACACCACAGACAGAGTTTACTGTGATGTCATGCACTTCGGTTCAGGGCGTTAGATGTTTGCTGGAGCCAAACACCGACTGGCTGAAGAGCCCAGAAGAGGGAGCGCTGCCCAGCATGTCCACAGTGTGGTCCGCTGGCTCCCATCGCATCTCCAGCCTTCATCAGCTGCACATCACTCAATTTCAGTGGTGATGTCTGAGGCCTAGAAGAAAGTGGCCTTCTAGAACTGGTGTTCTGGGCCATACAGTGACCTCACATGGGGCCATGGCAACAGCACAGGCGGCAGCAGCAAGTTTCTGACCTCAGCGAGGGCCTCCTTGGTGAACACAGAGCCTGCACACCCCAGACACAGGCCATTTCTCCAGAGCTGGGCTGTTTTCCACACAACCTCCCAGTGGCTTTGCACAGCACGGCACTCTTGCCCATTAGCGCCATAGCTGTCCCTTGGAGGGACATGCGGATGTGCTCGGAGCCCGCACTGTCTGCTCCCATAGCAAAGCAGTTGCTTTAATCATCTGGAAGCTCAATGATCTCTAAAGATCTGTTCTTTATCATGTGTGTCTGTGGGCGCGTGCATGAGGCAGGAAGCACCAGAGTACTGGAGATGGAGTCACAGATGACTGTGAGCTGCCTGGTGTGGGTGCTGGGAACTGAACTTGGGTCTTCCAGGAGAGTGACTGCTCTTAAGCACTGAGCCATCTTTCCAACCTAAGAGGGGTGATCTTAACCAAGTAGCTGGGCTTCCAGGTGCCCACCTTTCCAGAGCACAATGGCAATGCTTTGTCAGCCACTGCTGTGCAGTACTAAAAGGCAATGCCACTTTAATGAAGAGTTCTGGCTGCTGAGCTCTTGTTTTCTTTTGTTTTAATTGGAAGGTTGGTTTTAACTACAAGTTGCTTTAACTTGTATACTGTTCAGACTTCAGACAACCTGAGTTTCTTCTCCCAATGACCTATAATTTACATACTACAACATAAACCTTTTTATTTAAGTAGGGTTTTTTGTTGTTGTTGTTTTGTTTTTTTTAAAGGCTGTCATGGAATTGACAGCAATTTCCCTGTCTCTGCCTCCCAAGTGCTAGGATTATGGGTTTGAGTCACCACATCCAGGTAACATTCAACAGTTTAAAAGTATATAATTCAGTGGGTTTTAGTACATTTCAGAACCTACCAGCCCTTACCAATACAAGCTTCATTAAAAAGCGAGAACAGCAAGCTGGGTATCTAGCGTAAGCCTATAATCCCAGTAAAAAGGTGAGGATGCAAGAACCAGGAATTCCAGGCCATCCTCAATAACACAAGAGGTCAAGGCCGACAAGCACTCTGGAGATCTGTGTCAAAACAACCAGTATCACCTCCACCAGAGAGCAGTCCTGACTGACCTGACCGAGAAGCCGGATTCTAAGTCTGCCAGGCACCCACAAACAAGCAGGTCATAAGCTAATTGCTGTAGCACAGCCCCTCCCTGCCCTTGGCTGGGCACCCTGTATACTGACCTTTGGCCGTACTCCTAGGAAGCCACTGCAGTTATCTGCTCCACAGTGGCACACTGTCCTGCCATTGCCCAGACAATCCAAGTTATAATTAAATGTTAACTCCATCCCTAAAACACAAGAGAAGAAAAATCTCAGTGACGTCATGAGGAAGAAATACTGCCAGACACTTTACTGCAGACACATGGTTCTGACACAAAGACTTGTCCCAGGCTGGCAGGATGGTTCAGGGGGTGAAAGTGTCATGTAAGCCTGACAACTTGAGTCGGTTCAGATCCCACGGCAGAAGACAGCGAATCCTAGAAGCTGTCACCTCTCCTCATGGGCACTGAGTGTGCACAAATATACACATACCCAAAATAACACAACCTTAAAGCCTTTTCCTCCTTCAATGTCCATCTCACCAAAAACAATGCTAGAAAAGATGTGTGTGTGTGTGTGTGTGTGTGTGTGTGTGTGTGTGTTTGTTAATCCCCGCCCGCCAATGAGCATGTCAAAGCAATATTCTAAAAGGATGACATACCCTTTTACAAAAGTGGTTTAAAAAGTGAACTAAGGCCTATGAACATGTGAGCTATGACCTAGGGCTTCTGGCCTAAGCTCCAGGCTCTAAATGGCAGGATTGTGTCGCCGTGGCAGTGGTAGGAGCGCCCTCCACTGTGAACTGGCGCAATTGCGGGTCACTCACTACACATGAGACTGTTTCAGGGGTCCCAGCTCGAGCCTGAGCACCTTCAGACAGGCGTGAGCAACCAGAGGCTACCAAGCTGACCTGCCCCAGCTACTGGACTGCTCTTACCCATTCCCTAAACTTCCTGAGAGACTAAACGGTTCTGTTGAGATGCAGAGTGGGGAAGGAGAGTCAAAGCAGCAACTGGCCTCTGAGGCTCCTAGTGCTAATCTGAAACAGAAGGTCTTTCAGAGTTGAAAACAAAAGAAAGAAAAAGAAACCATGTTGTGGATGTAAACATGGCTTTGTTTTGGTCCCAGGTATGGGATGTGGGACTGATTCAGATGGTCCACAGCAGCAGACTATTTGCCTTATGCGGGCTCTGAGAGGAGCTCTTTGCCAGCTGCAGATAGTTTAAATCTGAGGACTCTGGAGAGAGAATAAATGCCAGAGCCCAGAGAGTGCAGAGCTCTGAGAAAGAACAAGGCTGCTGCTGCTTCCTCCTTGCTGCTCCTGATTGCTGCTGTGAGACAAGAAATTGGAGATCTCCTGAAACGAGGACTGGACTGGCTCCAAGGATCCTGGCAACCCTAACCAGCAGGAAGCAGCTAATAGAACTGCACCCCCTCTCCCACTATGCGCCCCCTCTCCCACTAACCCTTTCTCTTTCCTACCTGGTGTTGGAGTGTTGGAAGGGATTGGGATGAATTTAGGGAGAAAAAGAGAAATGTAAATAAAAGTTTTAAAAAATAATGCCTACAAAATCAGCTGATGTTGATACAAGCAAATTATTTTAAAAAAAGATTTATTTGCGTAATTTGTAATCATGTCTATGTTTATGTGTGGGTGCCTGCCTGACCCCTTGTAGCTGGAGCACAAGTACACAGTCTTAACTGCTGAGCCATCTCGCGGTCTCCACAGCTAACTACTTTCACGTGTTTTGAGAAGAATTCAAGAGCTTGGCCATGCGGTTACATGTGCAGGCAGCAGTATTTGGGAAAGCGACGGGTGTGCACTTGAACACTGTGGCACGCACACTCTGCCCTGCCCTCTTTGCATGAAGGCTGGGTTAAGTTTTCTCTTCAGATCTGAATAAACACACAGGCAGCCTTCAAGGCTAACATTCCTCCCCAGCAAGACAGAGCTCCCCGGCAGCGGGCCCCTGGCCAGCGAGTTGCCACTCTACCTGCGGGGATATCACAGAGAGCAAACAGTCCAACTCGAACATCTCCATTTACTGTCCACTTCTGCGTCTCACAGTTTGGATTACAACTGTGGTTCATGAAACGAGAATAATTTCCTTTTGGTCCAGCATCAATTATACGGTCCTTCAGAAAGGAAAAAAGAAAGGGAGGGGTAACTTGACATAAACTAAATACAAAGCACGTTTAGAAACATTCAGTTAGGGGACACAGGACAGCAGCCTTTATTATTGGCTGGTGTGTGCAGCTGGCAGCTCTGAAATGTAGTCACCACGCTCTCTATTTGGGGACCTTAGATTTTTAAAGTTTCTCTCTAGAAACTGCAGTCACGGAGCTGTGACAAGATCAGCCACATGTTTAGTATTTGTTTTTGTTTTCTGAGACAGCGGTTCTCTGTGGGTGGCTTTGGCTGTACTGGACTTACTTTGTAGACCTGGAACTCACAGCAATCTGCCTGCCTCTGCCTCCATGAGGGCTGGGATTTACGGGCGTGCATCACTGAGCTCTGTGAGGTAATTTTGATCACAGAGCTATGCAGTTCAGAATCAACCAAGCAAGTATTTTGTTTCCCATTCTAAGCAAGAGGTAAAACTTGTGGGATAGACGAGTTTAGATGAAGATGGAGAGGGAAAATGGGGCTCTCCATCATTTGGATGTGGACACCCATTCATCTCTTGTGCTCTCAGGAGCCGGTCCTTTCTCACAGTTCTGACTTTATTTTCTCTTACACCACGGCTCAACACACACAGAACACTGGACAGTTAGGTTCCCTCAGTTTGGACTCTAGCAGTGTGGATACGGCCTAAGGCTGAACCTATAGCATGTTTCACTGAACTGAGTGCAGGGGCGCTGAGGACAGCATGAAAGTGGCCCTTGAATTTCTGCCTGTGAAACACGTGAAAGCTGTGAAACTTTCACAGAATGACGTAACTTCATAGAGTTAAAGTACTTTCAAAATAATCTTCCTTTTTCTTTTTTGAGCTAGTGTCTTTCAATGTAGCTCTGGCTGGTATGGAACTTTCTATGAAGACCAGACTGTCCTTGAACTCCGAGATCTGCCTGCCTTTGCTTTGAAATGCTAGGACTAAAGGCATGCACCACCATGGCCAGCAATCTCTTTTACTGTATTCTGTTGTTTTCTCTCGTTTTTGCTTGTGATGAGGCTCAAACCCACAGCCTCACATCCGTTCAGCATAATCTTTACCACTGAGCCATGATGACCGTATGTCTCTTTTAGGAACATCACAGAACACGGGTCCTAGCCTTGGTCCTTAAGATGTGATAGTGTAACGAACAAATAAACGAACTGCACCTAGACATGGTTTCCTGTCCTCTGTAAGGACTGTTAACATACGTGAGACCATGGCTGCAATGTGTGCGAAGACCTCAGCCTAATGACTGTATGCTCTGTTTTCTTGTTACACAAGGTCTTCTGCAGGCTGGCTTCTAACTTATGATCCTCCTGCCTTAACGCCAGGAGTAGAGGTATATGCCACAATATGTAGCTGAAGTTTTATTTAACTAGTAGTTTGTTGCCACTTTTCTTATGACAACATCCTTTTTTTAGTCATTTGTTTCACATGTATGAATGTGTTGCCGCCATATACGCATGTGACTGGTGTCCTCTAGGGCCTTTAGACTCAAAGATGCTGTCAGACATCCTGGAACTCAAGTTCTAGATTGCTGTGAGCCAGCACATGGTACTTGGAACTGTCCTCCGCAATAGCAACAAATGCTCCCAATGACTAAGTCGTTTCTCCAACCCTTCTGTCATTTTGTTTTAAAGCTTAATAAATACAAAGAACACTTTTGAGGTTTTGGTTAATCAGTGATTTCAAAGTATTTAATGAGCCAGAGCTGACCCCCCTGACAGAGCTAAAGAAACCAGGTCTCTCACTGACTCTGGTTAGGGCCAGAACCCAGCAACTCCAGTCCACAGGGTCACTTGCTGTGGTTAGCGCTTCCCTCTTGCTGGAGTCTCAGAACTATAGAGGGTCCCTTCTGTACACCTAAAAAATCACAGCACTGACTACATTTTCAGTAGTCAGTAGTCAGTCACCATGTTTTACTTAGAGAAAATGAGTCCAGCATAAGATTATGAACAAAACAGAAAAAGTCCCTTTTATCAAAAAATAAAAGCAATTTTACCTTGGTAACAGTTAACATATAAAAATTAGTTACACTGTTCTCGTGCGCTCGCTTGATTCGAAGTCTGCATTCTTCCTCATCAATTAATTCACCAACATATTCATTCACAAGTTCACCCTGCAGAGAAGCATTCAATTCGTAACTGCAAAATCGGCTTACTATATTGTCATGCGTATCTTAACACCACATGCATGAACAAGAAAGTTAACTGAAGAACCCTGGGGCTGGGAGCGCAATGAAATTCGCAGAGCCTTGCCTAGCTTTCGTAAGGCCACAGGTCAATCCCCAGCGCCACATAGACTCAGTGTGGTGGCGCATGCCTATCACCCCAGCACTTCGAAGGTGTAGACAGTTCAAGTCCTCCTCGTGCTGATTTCAAGGCCAGCCTGGGGCACAAGAGATTTTGCCTTTTTAACAGTAACACAGCTCCAGAGTAATGGCTTAGTGTGTAAGCTGAGTTTGACACCATGAACCCCTTGATGGAGTGAGAGGCGCGCTGATGGACTTTCATGGAGCACCATGGTGTGCAGCTGTGTGTAGCTGTCTGTGCCCATTTTCTCAGGCAATTTTTTAAAATAGAAAAACAAAACAGACGGACAAAAATCACAGCGCTGTGAGACGGCTTGGTGAGCTCATATTCGCAGAAACTAGGAGGCCAGGCAGTCCTGAAGTCCTAGTGATGGGGAGACGGGAGGGAGGAGCAGGCAGCCACTGAAGCACCACAGCCAGCTGGACTACTTGGAGAAGACCCGGGCCAGCGAGAAACCCTATCAAGCAGCAAGTTTGTCACAGCTGCCTTTTGTCAACCTGACAGGAGCTTGAGCTATCTGGGGAGGGAACCTAAGGGAGAAAATGCCTCCATCACCTCTTGGTTGATGACTCATGTGGGAGGGCCCAGCTCACTATGAGTGGCCACCCGTGAGCAAGGTGGTCCTGGGTGGTCTAAGGAAGCAGGCTGGCCAGGCAGTGATGGCACACTGAACACCACACTCGGGAGGGAGAGGCAGTCTCTACATACTGAGTTTCAAGACAGCCAGAGCTTAAAACAAAACAAACAAAAAACCCCACAAAAACCAAACAAGACAAACAAGCAAACAAAGCAAGCTGATTGAGCCAGTTCTTGCCTTGAGTTCTTGCCCAGACCTCCTTTCACCATGGTCTATCATTGAAAATAAACCTTTTCCTCCCCAAGATGCTAACTAAGACACATTATAGTCAGGAAAGCACCTTAGAAACAACACTGGCTGGTGGCTGCAGGCATGCACACACGCCCTAACCCCTACACAGAGCAGGACAAGTCTTGGAAACACAACTTCAACACTAGAAAGAATGGCTGCTGCTTATTCACAGGCACGTGGTGGCAGCGCCGGTGCTGTGCAATGCTTGGAAAGGTTCCGCCATGCTTGCCTTTGCTTGCTGATGACACTGTTTCTGTACCCCAAGGGGCACCTGTGGCATGTCACGAGATCTTGGGTAAAGCTAACTCCAACTGAAGCCAATATTGTCACTGTAATCACAAACCTCTAACAGTTTGTAGCTGGGGTGGGGGTGGGGGGGTGGCAGTCAGGGACAGGAAATGGAGATGATCTGAATCTGAAACAGAGAGGGCATGCTTTTGCTCATTAGACCTTTCTTTTGAAACAACTATATTTACAGGCAGCTGAAAAATGCAAAGTCTTTGTGCTGTTCATCCAGACGTCCAGAACACTAACATCTTGCAGAACTGCAACAGTAGTAACACCAGAAAACTCGCGCTGGGACACACACCTCACTCAGACAGGGGTCCTGCCGCCACACAGCCATGTTCACGATTGCATCTGCACCACAAGATGTCCTGAGTTTTTCTTTGATGGCCACAGCCATCCTCCATCACTTCAGCACTTTGGCTTCTTAACTGTTGCCAAACCAATCTATCAGTGTAACTCTGCCATTCAAGGATGGTGTATAAATGAATTAATGATATATGATCTTTTCAAACTGTTTTTTAAGTTACTTCCTTACGTTAAGTGTATGGGTGCTCTGCCCGCATGTGTGTCTGTGTACCGCATTCACGCCTGGTGCCCTCTGACGCCAGAAGGGAACATCAGGTCCCCTGGCTGTGAGCCGCCATGTGGCTGCTGGAAACCAAATCATGGTTCTCTGGGAGATTAGGCCATGCTCTTACGTGCTAATCCACCTGTCTAGCTCCTAAAGATGCATTTTTATTCCAGGATATCTGATGCCCTCTTCTGACTTCTGCAGGTACCAAGCAGGCATGTAATGCAAACACATACATTTTCAAAACACTCACACATAAAATAATTAAGGGTTTGTTCTTATCTTATGTGTATAAGTGTTTTGCTTTCGAGAGGGGGTGAGAGTGTGAGTGTGTATGTGTGTGTATATGTGTGTATGTGTGCGTGCAGTGTCCAGAGAGGCTGTAAGAGGTTTTCAGATGCTCAGGAACTGGAGTTCAGATAGTTCTATGTGGGTGCTGGGACTCAAACCTGGGTCCTCTATGAGACCAGCAAGTGCTCATAATCACTAAACCATCTCTATAGCCAGGGGACTGGCAAGATAAAATAAAACAAAATTAAATTAAATTAAAAAAATCAAGCTATTTTTCAGGAGATCACCCAAGTTGTGTTTCAGTTGTCTCTAATGGCTCCATAGGTCTCCTCAGGAGGGACGCACTAGCATTGGTTTAATCATTCGCCCACTGAAGAAGACTGGCTAGTCTTTCCAGATTTTTGCTATTATAAATACAGTTGCTGTGCACATTTGGGAAGAGTTTTCACGAGATTACAGATTTTCATTTTCCTGGCTTAAATAGCCAGGAGGGAGATTTGTATAATACAGTTAAGTGTATGTGTGTAGACACTGGCAAACTACCACTGACAATGGCTACTCCATCTATATTCCGACCACCAATATAAAAGCGAGCCAGGACTTACATATCCTTGTGAGAACTTGGTATTGTCACAGCTGCTTTAGCTGTCCTAAGTGATAAACTCATGAGTAAATACAAGGTAGTCAGCTCCTAGGTTATATAATCACCGACTTTTAACCTCAAAAGCCATGCTCACTCAGTCTAGGGAAACTACATTATCTGTAGGATGCACCAGCATTTCAAGCTCCCCAGAGGAAAATGAACATTTTGAGAAACAAGTAAGTGTGTAATTACTATTTAACAGATTTTCTTTCCACATACAAATCCTCCTCAGTTCTCCTTTCAGGTGGCTGAGAGTGATACAGTGACGCAGACCTGTTGGCCCCGTGCCCAGCATTATTCTCCTAGACGGCTCCCAAGCCCTCCATACTCCACACTCCAGGCACTTAGTTTTTAAAGCCCAAGTGTGGCAGCTTCCTGAGGCTGCCCCAGATGCTGCTGGGATTCCCCTGCCCAAGGCTGTAGCAGCAGTGATGCCATGCATGGGCTGACAAGACCTTGTCCTCTATGATCTCAGTGTCTGTCAGGCTAACTGGAGTCCCTTTCTCATGCCTATGTTGGGAACTCCAGGTAGCAAGGAACTGGAAAAGCCACTAAAGATCATTATTGGCCAAAAGGGGTGTGTGTGTGTGTGTGTGTGTGTGTGTGTGTGTGTGTGTGTGTGTATACATGTGTGTAAATCTTAAAACAAGAACACTCAGACCACAGCAACAAGGAATGGAGTTCTATAACTACCAGGTGAGGTGGGAAGCGGGTCCCTCCCCGGGTGAGCGGAGAACCCAAGTTTGGTTGATTTCTTGCAATCCTAAATGAAGAACCTAGCTGCGCATTGCCTGGACCCCTGACCTGTATCAACTGTGATAACAAAACACGTATCACGTGTAAAGTTTTTAACTCCCGTGTGTGCTTGTTGTCTGTGTACCGTGAGCATGCCTGGTGCCCATGGAGGCCAGAAGAGGTTGTTGGATTTCCTGGGACTGCAGTTCCATGTGGATGCTGGGTGCTGGGAATGGAACCTAGGTCCTGTGTAAAAGCAGCCAGTGTTCCTACTGCTGAGCTATCTCTCCAGCCTCTTCAGCTGCTAACTTGTTTGCTTTTGAGACAGGGTCTTACTTTTAAAGCTAGGCCAGAATTCACAGGCTTATATAGCCCAGGCCAGCAAATTCTTGGCAACCCTCCTGCTTTACCATCTCAAGTGATGGGAATAAGTGCGAGGCACCATACCCAGCTTTAAGTTGCTAGTTTTCTGGTAATACTTTTATACAACAACAGAAAACCAATCTGCCATGTCAATCAAGTCACCCTACTAACATCTTCCGGTAGTTCTTGCCTAAAGCACTCCTTTAGACCCAGCCCTTGGCTACCTATCTCAGCTCATGTCCTAATACCACCCAGTTATCGTCACTCATGGCCAGGCTCAGTATGCTTCTGTCACCTGGCTCCTCTGTGAGGGCAGGAAGCAGCCTTACCACCAACACATCTCTCTGGCATACCCACTTTTAAAATTTATTTTTAATTTTCTGTGTAGGAGTCCTTTGCTTGCATGTCTGTATGTCTGTATACCACATGTGCCTGGTGCCCAAAGGTCAGAAGAGGGCATCAGATGCCTTAGAACTGGACTTATGGATATTTGGGAACCACCCACCATGTAGGTACTGGGAGCCAAAATTGGGTCTTTTAAATGCTTTTAACTGCTGGTTTCCAGACCCTGGTTAGTTTGTTTTCTTTTTTTGAGACAGTGTCTCACTAGCTATCCCTGACTGTTCTAGAATTCACTATGTAGACCAGGCTCGCCTGAACTCACAGAGCTCTGCCTGCCAAGTGCTAGGGTTAAAGGCATGTGCCACCACTCTCCCCAAGAGTTGGTTTCTTAACAAGAGCCTCAGGAGATGCTCAGGCACTCTAACAGCTGAGATGCACTATTTGAATTTTCTTTTAAGCTATCTGGCTTTAAAATATTTCTCCAACTGGTATGTATTTCTTATGCTAGGAGATTCTTGTGAAAAAACTGTCCCAAAGTGTGAAAACGAACGTAAGTTATAAAGTTCTACTATCTTACTTGCTTCTACCACTCTTGCACAAGAGTGTGAGGCCTGTAACAAGCTTTCACTACGCAGACAATGGACTATCATTGTCTAAGTTAATGATTCCGTGACTCAGTCAGACTGTGGCTTATGAGCCAGGAGGCTGCAGCAGCCATGGGTTTGCCAGTGTCTGCGCCAGTGTGTAATTCACCTACTTCTCCGACGTGTTTATCCACTGGGAACAGCAACAAGAAAGCATGGGTCACTTCACCTAGTAACTAAAAAAGTTTTAAAAATTCAAATACCAAAACATCAGTGCCCTTTCTATTTAAGGCTCATCAAATAATGCTCACAGTTATGTACATTTTTTATCCTACTCTTTCTTTGCTTAACGAGTGCCCAATTGTGAAGTCTCAAATGTTTTGCCAGAAGTAGCTTTGCTTGTTGCTGTGTCAGGACTAAAGCATCCTACGAGAAGAAGGTGGGCACTGGCCTATGCTATCCATTGCGTGCGGCTCCCACATTACCTTCTTAATGCTTCTTTTGGTTCTGAGGCCCCAGCCTCTCCGCTCAGTTTTGATGATCTCTGCTTCAGGGTAGAGCCTCTTCGTAAAGCACTGGTTTTGACAGCGGTCCCCAGCAGGACACACCTGTGGGTGACACTCATACTGGGACATTCTGTTCAGACACTCGGACTCCAAGCCACAAGGGTTTTCATCACCAGGCTTGCAATTACAGCGGGGAATCTCTGACAGGTCAGCCACCTGGATCTGCACCTTTCCTATTACTTTGTTAGCCTAGGGGACAAAATAGCAAAAGAAAGGGAGAAGGTGAGTATCTGTGAGCAACTTGAAGAGAATCATCAAAGCACTGTGACATCACTCTAAGGAAAGCTCTTTATCTTAATCTCTCCTGAATAAACTAGGGATAATAACTATGTCTATTTACTAGACAAAAGTGTTGAAGCTTGATGTCAATTCTCATTTATTTGGGTTTTTTTTTTTTTTTGATTGCCATAGGCTGATAGAAATTTAATACCTGAAATTAAGAGAAAACAAATATGCTGTGAAGTCTGAGGACAAGGGAGGCTAAAGATCTCTATCCCCATTTGGTTGCAGGATAATCTAGTAGGAACAGGACAGAATTTCATGTAAGCCATGGTTCCCAGGTGTGGAACATCTTGTCAGAGACCCAGCCCTCAGCACCACAGGTAGGTAGCAGAGACCCAGCCCTCAGCACCATAGGTAGGTAGCAGAGACCCAGCCCTCAGCACCACAGGTAGGCAGGGCTCCTACTGATGCAGCCACACAAACTACTGGCTTAATAAGGCGAAGATGACCACCAGTGAACATTTCTGCAAGTCACAGGCCTTTAGCTTTCAGGGAGGGTATGCTCACCTTGATGTGTTTGTAGGGAGGGGGTTTTCTTGAGGTTTTCTCTATCTCCAAAGCCTCCTTACTTTCTCGCTGTGCTTTCAACTCCTGGAAGCGTTTTGCAGCTTCTTCCAGTGCTGACAAGTAGAGCAAGCCATTATCAAAATGCAAAGACGGTCAGGGTAAGAACTTAAATTCTACCACCTTAGGTGGGTGTGGTGGCGCACACCTGTGATCCTGGGACTCAGGGAGGCAGAGGCAGGTGGATTACTGTTCCAGGGTAGCCTGGGTTACAAGAATCCAGGACAGCCAAGACTACACAGAGAAACCCTGTCTTGAAAAAAGCAAAAGAAGGGGGATGTGGGGGAGAAATCTATCACTTTTCAAATGCTCTGCATCTGGCCTGAGGTTTACTTTTTAAAATCAAATTCTGAAAATCGCCAGTCACGACCATTAGAGTAATAATAAATTAAGATAGAACCTATCAAATACTATCCTTTGTGCATGCCTCAGAACAGAGGTCTTAGATTAATGACAAAGCCCTCTAAGTGACCCCATTACAAGGACTTGTGTAACCTGTCCTAGATTTAAATTAATTTCATCCTCTCAGGTAGACTTAGGTTATATTGCCACAGTCTTAAGCTCTTCCTAGAAAGCCTTCCCTACTCCTTTGTGGCAATGGAGTTTCACCTGATTAAAAGACACTGCAAACAGCACAGAGTTCCATGTTTTAGCCATCTCAAACATGGCCCTGATGTCATGGGAAGTTTAGATGCAAAATCACTATGCCTGGTGAACAGTCTCAAAAGGCAGAAACCTCATGTGCAAATAAATATGCACTGGAGTGTTAGCTCAGAGTCGCTGTAAGCATGGTCCAACTTACCTTTTTTGAAGGTCTTGTTAATGCTAGTCTGTCCCTCAGCAAAGTTTTTGTCTCCTTCAACGTAAGGGAACACCCTGCCTTGGTGTACCCAATAGTAGTCATGGGAACCAAAGAAGAACACAGGGAAGTCCCCAATACCATGCTTAAGGCCCTGGATGTTCAGCGGCACAGACCTGGGACTGCAGATCTCTGCAGGCCACCATCTGAAAAAATCGAGAAAGTGAAAAATCGCACTGTCCATCCATTGAGAGTCAAAAAAGGTTCATATTTTGCAAGATACATTCAAATTCTAAAATGCACAGTACTTAATCTGCTCATTTAAAAACTATTAATGAGCTGGGTGTGGTGCCACCTACCTTTAATCCCAGTCAGAGGCAGGCAGATCTCTGTGAGTTTGAGACCAGCCTGGTCAATGTAGTGGGTTCTAGGACAGCCAGAGCTACATAGTGAACCCTTGTCTCAACCCCACCCCACCCCAAACCACAACCACCACAACAAAAAACTATTCATGAATTAACAAAATAGAGAACATAGGCTAAACAAAGTAGACCCTAACTGTCCAATGCAGTTTTTCTCTTTAAAAGATTAACATTTAAATTTATAAAATATATATCATGAACACGCACACATATACACTACATACACACGATATATATTAGACACTTATAGGGTCTAATAAGGACAATGGACCATTTCCCAGCTCCGGAGCTGAGAGGTTAACTAGTATGATTCCAGCCCATTTTAACTGTAGAAAATTCACACTTCCCAAACCTGACTTAGTGTCTTCCCAGGTACAGAAGACTATCTCTCAAGGAATGAAGGATTGCTTCTAGCAGTCAAAGGGACCACTCTGAGAATAAACCATTGTGTACTCTTTACCATTCCCATAGTAAAGAATAAGTAGCACATGCAAATCAGTACTTCTTGACTCTAATCAACCAGGGAAAACGCCTCTTGATCTGATGTAACAGGCTTCATATCAGTTAGCATTTCAGAATCAACTCATCTTAACAGACACAGGATGGGTTAAAGTTTTGTCACCGAGACCGTTAACATTCAGCAACGTTAAGAACACGTTGTAGGGCAGGGTAGGGTGGGCCACACTTGTAATCACAGTACTTTGAAAGCTGAGATAAAAGCCTCATGAGTTTACAGGCCAACCTGTAGGGAGAATCTGTTCCCAGTAAACCAAACTAGTTTAAAAAAAAAAAAGGCAAAAGACTACATTGTATCCAGACCTACACCTAAAACACACACACACACACACACACACACACACACACACACACACACACA